TCCAATCTTAAACTCTTCTGCCAAAAATCAAGCTAATATCCTCTTACACATCAGTGTTATGGAGCATATCTCCTCAGCAATTCTCAAAGACCATGCAAAGGATGATGTTCATCAATGTACTTTACCTCAGAAAACTGGAGCAGAGAAAAGAGACGACAAATAGTCCTCTGCCAGTTCCTGAAATCCTAGTTCCATGCACTGAGCACTCAGACAAAAGTTTAACAAAGAAAGTACATCTGGAATCAAATTAAGTCCCTCACTATTTGCAGACCTAATAGGCATTAGTCAGAAATGGGAATTCATTAATATTGATATTCATAGCATATGAAAGAGAAGAAAAAGTATTATTATCATTTTGCATTATTATAATAAAATGCAAAGTGAATTATGATAATGCAAATCATAGTAGTCTGAAAATTCTAGTTTGTCTTTTCCAAGGTCCACTACATGCACCTCCAGCAAATGGATTTATATGGAATATATGGTCTGCACATGGCTCTTCAATAAAATGAGGTGGCATGTGGCACTCTATTTTTATCATTCCCTGCAATTGCACTTCCTCAAAATTTGTTATCCACCTCCTTCTTTGGGATTCATCTCTGCTGACATTACATCCAGTCCAAAACCTCCAGGCACTTTTAGTCAGCCTACATTTCTCCCAGTTGTTTTTGCTGCAGGCAGTCTTGACTTGCCTGCGGTAAGTTTGAGACCCAGGTACTCCTTACAGGAGTGTAGGCAGCATTACGATGACTCAGTTTAAATTGAAAAATTTCATACTATAGCAAAATAGATAGGAGTTTTACTCATGCCAGCAACGTAAGGCTTTGTCACGAAGCTAGTCTGACAGATAAGTAGTTGTAATAAACACATTGTGGGTCATAAATGTATGCCGTATTGTTTTCTCTTATTGCAAAGCCTCACAGTAATTCATTAACATAGTTTTATATAATGTAGGGTATAAAACACACTTTTGTAATCAATCTCTTTACAGATAGACCAAAAAAAAAGAAAAAGAAAAAAACTCCCAGAGAAGTTTTTTGAAACCGATTTGTGTATTTTCAATATGTGCCATGAGAAATACCCACGCGGTGCAGGATGCAGAGACCCTGTTGGCAAAATTCGTTTATGAGGCTCCAAATCACTGCATCCTTTTTCTCTTTGCAAGGTATAGGGCCCTTCTGGACACTCGAAAGTGCATTTTGTACCAACAACGTATGGCTGTCCCTCTGAAGCGCTTGTGCATAGCTAAAGGCACTACATTTCAAAGGAGGGGACAAATTCCACAACACGCCCGCGACAAACTTGTGTCGAGCCAAGGAGCCAGCAAAGCTCATACTGGGCCTGCGGCCGTGCAAGAGGCAAGGACTAGTGAAAGTCACCGCGATAGGCGATGGTAAACAGTGCATACATTGAGGACGGCCGTGCCTGCCCTTCTCCTCTCCCCGCGCCGTCCCGTGACCTTTCTCGGCTTAGGTTTAAACTATAAATACCCAGAGGACATCCGAGCCCATTGTTTTGTTGCCCTCTGAGAAAATCAAACCTGCGAAGGGAGGGCGGTGCTCGGGCCATCGGGTTCGCGCGTGGCCCCTCTCCCCTCCGCCGCCGCCGCAGTCCTGGGGCCAGGACCGACACCGGCCGCATCTCCGGGAGACCGCGCAGGAGCCACCACAGGGGCCCACGCAGGCCTCGAGCCGCGAGTGGTCACGGGGCTGAGGGAGCCGCTCTGATGGAGAATTGACTTTCGTAGCTTGGCGACTAAAACCCACGTGTGCTTAAAATACAGATCTATCCGCCCTTCTACACGAGCATCGTAAACCAGTGCATTAACCCCGGCGACAAAATTCATCCCAGGCGTGTAAGTTGGAGATGCCGGCGATATTTTTGCAAACACAAAGCATTCACCCACTCACGTCTGTCATCTTCTCCCTCCCCAACACACAACTTCCTGCGATTCCCTTCGCCTCTGCCGGGAAGCTACCGCTCCCTCGGCCGCCCGAGGAGACTCGGAGTCGCTACAAACCTGGCTAGTCAAGGGCTTGGGCGCGTCTGGGAAATCGCAGCTACAAGGAGATGGACTTCGTCAAAACGGAGAAACGCGCACGCGAGGAGTGCTGCGTGTTGAACCCTCCTCGAAGGCCACCTTTCGTAAACAGACGCAGAGAACGCGTGCAAAGGGAGGCGGGGGGGTGTAGGGGGAGGTTTAAAAGTGCAGACCCCGGCATTATTTTTCATGAAACAGAGAAGCCAAAAGAAACGGGTGCCAAGCCGGGCTGCGGAGCAATGAACCGCGCCCAAGGTCTCCCTCCTCCGCGGTGCCGCTCCCGGTGCCGCTCGCCGCTCGCCTTTCGCCTCGGCAACCTAGGGCCCGCTAGGTGAACCGAACAGCTCCTTGAGCGGGGAAGATCTGGAAAAAAGAGCACGAACACTCGTCACTCCTTTTCCCCGCGTTTGATCCCTTAAGGCGACTTGTCAATTTGAATTGACAGTTTTGTTAGGATAAATCGATATTTTTGACTGGCTCTATTGGCCAAACTATTTTTTTTCCATTCTTCCCGGTGATGTCTGGGGCCTCTCTGTAGTCACACCCGTCCCAATAATATCGGGAAAAAAAAGCGGGGGGGGGGAAAGAAATAAAGACCCGCGTTTCCACTCATTTCCTATGCTCTTCGAGAGCAGCGATTTTCAGTTTTGAACGCTTAGGATATTGTAAAACTTCTCTTTCAAATGTTGTTTTTGTTATATCACTAGAGATTTGACAAGTTTAAAATACTTTAGATGTAAATTCATTCTTAATTGGAACTTGTAAAGATTGAATTCGGTGGGTATTATATATCTGCTAATCAATTTTCACCCAGGAGCAAAGTTATATTGCGGCGGTTAGGTTTAATGAAGTGACTGTGCAATTACACTCGCGGACTTTATTTAAAGTCTATTAAGGTCCTAAGAATTATTTCTCAAACTGTTCTTGATTTCCCTTGCATTATGAAAAACACCATATTTGATTTCTAAGCTCTCCGGCATTAGCAGCCTTTCTCTCCCATTTTCTGGTCTGACACCTGAGGGCATTTTCCTTCTTTTTTTTCTTTTTTTTTTCTTTTTTTTATTTATTTCGGATTCATGAAAAAAAAATATGCGAATTAACTTCCAGACCAACGAAAATAAATATATCCTGCAGTACCTGGAAATTAATGCCGAACGGTTCTAAAAAGGAAATTTTTTCACATATCTGCTGCTATTGGAAAACGATTTTTTCGTCATTTCGGTCACCCATTTATTATTTTTTACTTGGAACACTTTACCTTTTCCCGGCTGTTATTTTGACAGCGCTTTTCCTTTTTCCTTAACGCCTGTCGCCCCACTAAGAGAGAGCTCCGGGAAGAGGATTATTCCTATGTTACCTTTGGATCTTCATCGGGAAGAGCTGCTGTTGCTACAAGCCAAATGAAATGCGGTTCCTTGAGCGTGGAGCCGGGCGAGAAGCTCTCCGAAGTTCCCGGTCTTTAGCGTCTCCCAAAAAATACTTAAGAGATTTTTTAGAATAGTTGTTTTATTATTATTATTATTATTATTATTATTATTTATTATTATTATTATTATTATCTCTCTCTTCGATACCTGATTGTTTCTCTGCTTTTAGTGATGGGTTTTGGGCAGTCGGCTCTTGCCGATATCTGGGACAACCTCTCACACACACGTTTTTTTTTTCTCCAAGTACATTGGTTGGAATGGAGCAAGTGGAGTTTAAAAAGTGCTGCCATTTCTCTCGTGGGATAACGAAGAGAAATTGCTTGAACTTTTCTCCCACTTTCAATATTTAAAATAAAAAAAAATGACGAGAACTTTTCCCGCAGTACCCTTTTTCCGATCACGGCACTTCTGTGCTCAGGGGCGCCTGCTCGGTCCCGTTTCAAGGTATGGGGGAGCGGGGAGGGAGGACGGCGAGAGCGCGGGCCCTGCGCGGCGTTGCGCGGGACAGGAGACAGCGCAAATCCCCGCGCGCCGCTCTCGCTTCGCCTCTCGCAGACCCCGCGGCTTGGCGACTATTTCGGTGGGGCTCTCGTTTTAAGGGACAAATAATTTGCCTCGATGGACAAATAATTGTTACGGACCGGACCCGACGCTTCTCTTAATTTTCCCTGTTGCCTTCAAGCGGGACTCTATGGAACCTCCCGTTCCCCGCTGCCCGCTTCCCTCTTCTAAAAGCCTTTCCCTGTCAGGAAAAGCGAAGACAAGGCCGGAGCCAGCCCGCTGCCTGTCCCTGCACGCGGGGAATACACAGCTTCCGGCCGCGCTCCCTCGGGCGCTGAGCGCAGGGGCCCCAGCGGACCCGATCTGGTCCCGACCAGCCCTGGCAGGGCAGAATCAGGTCCCGGAGCTCCAGTCCCAAGCCCCCGCGCTGTCCGAGTCAGGCGCGCAGGACCGCGGGGTGCGCGGGTGCCCCGAGTCCGGAGCCCCGGCCTCGCCGCCGCTTAGCGCTGGAGCCGCGCAGTGGACGACGTCGATCCGAGGAGCCCGCCTCTTCTTCCACCAGAATCTCCGGTTAGATCAGCACGGTTTCCACGGGGCAGACTTTCAGAGAGCCGTACATAAGATCTGTCCCGCAGTGATGTGAATCTTGGCCCCCGACTTTTGCCCCCGACGCGCCCTTGGTCGGAGCTCTCCGGAGTTACCCAGAGCAAGGCGAAACGCATGTCCCAAGACACCCAGGAAGTTGCAGCGCGAACGCGAACGCGGACACGGAGAAAGGGAGGCGGGGGGGGGGGAAGGCTCGCGATGGGTGAGAGAAAAGTCCCTGTAAACCGAAAATAATAATCGTAATCTCCGAAGAGTTTCCCCGACGCCGGATATTTTCATGGACGCGAGACCGTGTAGAATGGAGGAGCGCTGCGCCCGCGCCAGCCCCGCTAACGGAGCAAAGGGGCTGCGGCTGGGTCGGCGGTGGGAGAAAGTCAGGGAAAGTGGGGGAGGGGGGTTGGCGTAGAGAAAGGAGTTACACTGACCGGGGTTGAGGTCCAGGCACTGAGTCGGGTCTTCATTGTCTCCTAGCTGGCCATTGGGACTGAGGCTTTCCATGGACAAATCCAGCCCCTTGTCCTCCCAGTCTCGCAGTTTCCTCTTTTTATTTGTCCCGATCAAGGCTTCTACTGAGAAAGCGTGTGCTCGGGAGCTGAGGGCCACCGCCGATCTTCGCCTCTCGCTCATCTTATCCCCCAGCCCAGACCCTTGGCCAGAAGAGCAACCAGTGGCTGGGAGCGCGGAGCTCGGGGACCAGAGGCAGAACCTCTCTCTTCTTTCTCCCCCTCCACCTCTCCCCAGCTGCACCCCAAGAAGAACCAGCCCTCAGTCTCCCGAACGAACTACATGAGATTGCAGATACTCCGTAGGCAGAGCCGAGAGAGTGTGCACAGCCTAGGTCCCCAGCACTTGCTCAGAGGGGCTGTAGGCTGGATTTCATCTTTCTTTTTTTTCTTTTTTTTTTCTCCCCTTTCCTTCTGTCTCTCTCTGATTGATCCAAACTTCTGGTATTTTTTTCTCCCAGAGTTAGGCAGGCTGCGTGCGCCTGTCAAGGGGAGAAAAAAAAAGTGTCCCCGGCCAATAGGAGGGAGAGATCGGGAGAAACCCAAAAGCTGCAGCCCAATGGGAAGGAGAGGGAGACTCGGCCTTCGAGGCTAAGAATTTTGGCCATCTGAATCCTGGGACACCGTTCGAGAGAATTAACTATTTGAAGACCGGGGCGCCATTTAGTGCACATAGTTCTAAATACAGAGAGGTAACAACACTCACAATTCTCCTCACCCAGGTTTCCCAGAGACTACTGGGTAACTAAATCTTTCCCTCCCCCCACCTCCGCCCCATTAAGAAGAAAAAAAAATCGAAAAGGGGGCTGCAGGATGAGGGGGAAAACGTCGTTCATGTGATGTATTACTTGTGTTTCCCGGTGGAACCAACCTCCTCGGCCCTTGTAACAGTGCTGTCTCACTGTTTTTGAAGTTTCCCTTCAAAATGATGCGTGTCCGAAGTGGTATGTCCGGGCCGGTGGTGCGGCACAAAGCTGGTGCTGGAGCGGGGCGAGCTGCAGCAGAGATAGAGAGGTCCAGACAGCCTCTGGCACCAGGAGCACCTTTTATTTGGAAATAGGTAGTGTTAGTATCACCATACTTCTTTTTTTCCTCCCTTTACTGTTCCTTTTTGCCACTATAGCTCTACAGAGAGTACAAGCCACTAGGTACAGCTGCCGGACAGTTGTCTGGGGGGTATTCAGCCTTTCATTTCTGCTCATCTCTTCACTGTGCCTCGCAAGCTGAGGAGGGATCGTAGCTTCTCACATAGCCCTTGATCGTGCGGGGTGCAGGGGACTCATAGCACAAACAAGGAAGGGCCACATTCACAGCGGTGAAGCACCGTGTGTTTTCCCCGTGTTCAGGCCAAGAGGAAAAGAATATATGAAGTCAAGCAAAACACTATCTAGGGAAAATATAACAAGGCGTCAGGAGTTAATTCAATATCCAGGATCGAATGCAGATTCAAAATAAATAATAAATAACGAAACAATAAATAACGAAATAATAAAAGTTGGCGTGGATATGGTTCAAGTCAAGAAGAAAAAGAGGATGAGATGCTCTATTTCGGAATAGAGCATTTCTGATTGTTGTTTCTTTCAGGCTCCCTGAAGGGTCGGCGTTGCTTTAAGCAGACCTGAAGAAAGCAAGGGACCTCGGGCGAGCTAATTTTTCAGCTATGGGGCTGAGCACTAACTGAAGGGAGCAAATGTGGGGCAGGTCCTCAAGCTGCCAGAGGCACCCTGTGATCTTCATATTTGTGTGGCAGATCAGATACTTCCAGACATGCTTTCCCAGCCTAAAATTCAGCGATCTGTCCGGGTTCAAACGGCTATGGAAGCAAAGGGAATGTCGGATGAAAAATGGATTCTTCGCGAAATCCCGGGAAAGCTAAGTGACTGAGAGCAGTCTATCTAGACTGAGGAGCAAATTTTGTGCATCTCCATCATTCCTCCTCCTTCCCCACCCCGCTGATTCTTTCCCCTCCCCTCTTGCACATCACCTTTGACGGATCCCTTGCACTGGGCTCCACGCCGGGCATAGAAAGCACTCCCGAAAGAGGGGTGCTTCCCTCCTCGTACTGTCCCGCTCTCATCTCGCCCCGCTGCGCAGGAAGCCTGTTTCCTGGCTCCAGAGAAAGCAGTGCGGGGGGAAGAGGATAGCCAAAGACGCTTGAGGAGGAGGCTCGGATTTTAAATACGGCACCGGCCTGAGGAGTTGGGAGCCGCAGAGGGCACACGCGTTTCGAGCGCGTCTCTCGAATGAGTCTCCCGCGGCGAAGAAGTGACCCCCAAATAAAAAAGCGTTTCCTCACTTCCGAAAGCCTCGGAAACTCTCGTCGGGAAAAGAGACACCGAGGAAGGTGCTTACAGCAACATTTTTAGAAAGAGAGGCAGGGAAAACACAGGATTATTTATAGCGTTTTCGCGAGAGGAAACTGTGCGTTTAAAGGCAGAGCGATATAAATGAAATTTGGGGACTGATGTAAGGACTCCCAGAAACACTTTTTTTCCTCTTAAAAATACGTTTTCACGGGCCGACAATTTAAAGCAGTCGCGATCCCTTTCCCCTGTCTTACCTACGGGTTATGCGCGCCGCTGCTCGAGATCTAAATATGTCGACGTTGCTTGAGGGACCACCTCCTGCCCAGCTCGGGCAGAGGCACTGCTCAAAGAGCAGACAAAAGCGCAACAGTGTTTTCATGTCCGACCGGCCGCTACTTAGCAGACCCCTGGGATCGGGCCGTCTTGCAGGGCCCGGCGCTCAGCTCCCCACGGTGCCGCTGGTGGGGCAGAGTGGAGACCGGGGCGACTCAGGGCTACCGATTGCCGCACTCTCCTTTCCTGTCCCTCCGCCAGCGCCCAGGAGATTCTGCCCAGATCAGAGTTCCACTGCCCGCGTTTTGCGGCAAGAGTAAGGAATAAGCACAAGTTGCAGCGCTATGTGCAAGTTAAGAGCAGAGGAGCAGACAGCCAGTGCACCGTCCTGGCCAGACCCGAGCAGTGCGGGCCCATACACCCGGGGCAGGAGACTAGCCGAGGGGAGAGAAGATGAAGAGTGTTTGAGGGAGAAAGCTCTCTGTATTTAGGGGCCTCGTGCAGAGAAATCCACATAGGGAGTTGAGTTTCAATCCCTCCTTGGTGCCTCTGTGGCCAAGCCGGTTGGGCAGAGCATCCCTGCAGTAGCACAAGGCACCTGGTCCTGCGTGACGAGAGCCCTGCTAAGGTCCATGTCCCACCTGCCCGCTGCAAGCGGCGTCAATCTGGAGCTGGCCTGGAGTCAGTCTGCGTTTGGACACGACACTTAGATCCCGCTCTGACCCTTGGCCGCTAGAGATGAATGCAGCCCTTTGCTGGGTCTTTCTTCCAGACTCTGGCTCGCAGGAGTAGCCCCCATTAAATCCAGGAAACTACTCCCTGGAATAAAGTGGCAGGAGCAAGGGTCGCAGGGCCAGGCCCCGGGATTTATAAAGAAGTCATTTAGCGCCACTTTCCAGTTATCGCCTAGAGAGTCTGAAAACATTTACTTATATGTGGAAATATTTGGGAAGAGAGAAGTAAGGGGAGCCGACTGCAGAGTGGGAGTGCTGTCCAGATGTCCTGCTCGCCGTGGCTGAGCGGACCTGGTTTCAAACACCATTGCGCAGCAAGGAAAACGTTATCGAAAGTCCTTTAGCCAGATCTAGTCCTTTTTTTGTTTTGTTTTGCTTGTTTGTTTGTTTGTTTTTGTTTGGGTTTTTTGGTTGTTGTTGTTGTTTTTTAACTTTAGTAATTGAAAACAAGGTTAAAACTAGTCATCGGGTGTGGGCTGAAGGCTGTCTGATGATGTGAACGAATGATTTACTGGACTTTAATGCAACGTCGCTTGTCTTTAAAAAGGTATCGAAGGATTTCGAGCGTGGCGCTATTGCAGGAGGCGAGTTTAACGCCGCTGCAGACGCCTCTTGGAAAAACTCGAACGAGGTGATGTGCTCGGGCTGTGTGGCGGCGTTTATTGAGACAGCGAAAAACAAAATACGCCTGCAATTTATTTTTATGGTCTGTACAAACGGTATTGTTGCGTGTTATTAACTAATTCATAATTATGTCCCTACTAGGCCGCCGATTCCCAACCCCCGCCTCTCGTTTCCCCGTTTTTCCCAGGCTTTGAGAATCGCACCACCGCAAAATATTTAAAGTCGCAAGTGATTTTAAATAGGCTTTGTTTTTTTTCTTACAGAATAAAAAATCTCTATTAGTGTTTAAACAAACACCATGCCAGTCTCTTAAGCCTTCCAGATGTTTGCAATAAAATGTCAGGTTTTGCCTTTGGGACTCGAAATAAAATTTAACTACCTTCACCCTGTAATTATTCTCTTAGCTCTCCGTTCATAAATTTATCTGCTTTCTATCAGGAGAAAAAGAATCCGATTATAAGCACTTGGACTATATTTTAAAAAAATGCTTTCCCTCCATTTTACCAGGACTTCACCTTTGCTTTTGGGGGGCAGTACGGACCCAACGCGCTCATATTATTTTTTGTTCTCATATTTTCGGGACGGCAGAACACGACCGAGCAAATATCCTTGTCTTAAAAAAAAATGCCCCGTACCCCCAGGTCCTCTCTCCACTCCCAAGCCCGTGCCACAGTGCTTCGAGGGAGAGGCGACTTGGCAACTAAAACTGTCCCTGAACTTCCTCCAGCTCCAGGCATCTCTTCTTTGCAGGCACTAATCAGACCTGACTGCATTTCCACAGCCTCCCCGTGGAGCTGGTTGGAAATAGGCAATTACGATGAATAATTCAAACAAAATAGATTCCCCTCCCAAGTAAAGACAAGAGCCCTTCTGCTTTCTTAGGTCCTAACTCAGAACAACAAAGCAGTCTTAAAAGCTATGCCTTTTGCCTTTTCCATGCTACAGCCCAGAGAAACCCGGAGTAGCCAGGGAGGATCTACATTTCTTCCTTCTTTTTTGCTTTCTCGTTCCATCTCCCCGCTTTGCTCGTTTCTGCAAGCCAGCAGCTATTGCAGCTTGGGTAAGGAGCAGATACAGAGTGTGTCCTCTCGCAGCTGGCAGAGCCTCTCGGCCCTTGGGCGCAGCGGCTGACTCCTGCTGCTGCAGCCTTCTTCCGCTGCGGTGGGGTCAGAAACCTCCCTTCGCGC